TCTCTCTCTCTCTCTCTCTCTCTCTCTCCCCTTCAAATCTACCTTCAGGCTTCTTAAAAAAAGGAGAAATATGAAAAAAAGAAGTCTTATGTCCATGCATAAACCCTAGAATTGGGTTACATGTGTGGAAGGGTGTTAGAGAATACACTTGTCCTTTATTGGTTGTGTAAAGGATGTTTTAATGTCTTGGGACACTCCACCCATTGTCCTAAGATTTTCGGTTGGATGCTCAATTTTTTTTACACAATCTATTATTAAAATTAAAAGGCTAATGACGAGAAGTAGTGTATAGGAAAGTTTGTTACCATCCACGACCTGAAAGAAAGTTTACGAGGAAAAAGGTGCTATATATTTACCGATTATCGTCCTTAATAATTGAAACTGTACTTGCTGACTATTACAGGATGTGTGATTAAAGTTAGTGAATTGACTTTGGATGTCAATTGGTTGAAGAAGAATTTTTGAATAGTTATCCAGTGGTATAGAAGGGGTGCTTTAGATGTATGTGAGTCTTACCTGTTTGGAGGGATTATTGTCATGTTCTGAGTAGTAGTCTGTTGCTGTGGTTTTCGAACAAGGCAACAAAGTGGAAGAAACACTTCTAGGACTCTGCAAATGGAGTTCTGAGACTGACAATTCTCCAAACTTGTGTTTTTTTCTGTGGACAGCAGTGACTCACTTGCATGACTTTCCATCTTTGATTTTGTAGAGCGAATTTTGTACTTCACGCAGAGACTACTATTTTTTTTGGGTAGAATGTAAATGATTTCTTATTCACTAAGTTTTTGGGGTGTGGATGCTGAAGTAAAGATTACACGGTGCCATATAAACCTGCTATGAGTGGCTACTCTGTGGTTTTTAGTGTGCTTGGATTGGATGGCATTGCTCAGATCTTTTATGACATATTCATGCTCAAAGTGTGAGGCTAAAAGAGTAGTTTTCTTGCTTTCATTCTAGAATAGAAGTTTAGCATTATTTCATGAAAATGATTTGGCCCATCAGCATGTAGCCACATACTTGGTGCTAGAGGTGGGAGATTAGCCAGTTTCATTACAGCTGAGTTCTTAGTTAACTTGATAATTATGTGTCAAGCTTATGGAAAGGCCATTGTTTGTCGTGTCTGGTATGCCCCTCTGCCAATATTTGAATAGTAGATGGCATCTGTCTTTCTTTTTCCAATGCACTTACCAAAAGTTCAGGATGAAGCACATTCCACTTGTAGAACAAATTTATCTACATGTCGAATTCGCTTCATCCTGAACTTTTTGACCTAATTTATGTACATGTCGAATGTGCTTCATCCTGAACTTTCTGACCTATTCCCCAATGATCTGTCTTGTCGACATCAAGATGAAAATTTTAAGTACTTTTTTTCTTGAAACGGTAAAGGACTGAAGGTATTATTGAAAAGGTACCAAGATGGTATAGAAAAGCACAGAACTCTAGAAAGACCCGGAGAAATTTCTATGTACCTTTGTTTTCGTCATCCACTTGCGCCTCTAAAAGAAATTCTTATGGTTATTGGAATGAACAGAGTAAGTGAGACGTGGCTTTTGTATTGGGTATTTTGGAAGTAGGACATTTAAACTTGGATAACATTGTGATTTAGATGCCAAAGCAGTGGGTCATAGGTATGATGAACTGCTTGAGAGAGTCAAAGTAGACTAATGTCATTCAGGCTCTATATTCTTATAGTGATTTTACAGATTCCTGAAGCAACCTACATGGGGGGGGGGGGGTTATATTAGATTATTAGGAAACCTAAGTAGATATCATAAAAAATTTTTCTCCCGGAAATCCTTTTTTTTCACTTGACTGTCTTCTATCGTCACATAGAAGGCATTCACTCCACCAATTTGAACTGTAGAAATATTATATAGTTTTCATATATTTATAAGCATATAAAATTCCTCTAAATGCAAAGGGTGTAAGGAAGGCAGGGGAGAAGAACTTCTGCATGATAAGTCTTCAGCATCCGGAATAGTTTCTATGACTTCTTCATGGCCTTTTCATAAATTCATCCCACTATTATGTCAATGATTCTTAGGCTATCTGGATGTATTCTTTTTAGTTGTCTCCTTCTGCTGTTAACTCCTAAATGATAGTGACCCTCATTTTATTCTGACAAAGTGATGTTCCCCTTTTTCTGCATCAGTTTATCGGGAAGGGTCCTCTATTTGTATATGAAGGTCAAATGAATCTGAAATCTAATAATAATTTGATTTGTCGTTTTGACACGTTTCACTTTTGTTTTTTCAGGTCTTGTGTTATCTGGCGCCGCTCTTTCCAAAGAACGTTAACTTGTTTTGGCAAGATGAGGTATAAAATAGATTCAATATGTTAACAAAGAGACTTTCTACTTTTGCAATTTTTTTACTGGTTTTATGCATTGAAATTATTCGCTATATGAACAACCCGACAATTGAAGGTTGATGTTGAAGGTCTAATTATTTTACTAATTAGCTAAAATTGAATTATCACTATAAATATTTTGATAACTATTAGCTACATTATTAAGGTGCCTAGTATATTTCAACCTAAATTATGGGGTTATAGTGTATGTTTCATCATTCATGGTTTGATCATCTTATTTATATTGGAACTTCTAAAAGTAACACTTTTTAATTTGAACTTACTGCTACCACATTTTGGCTAAGTTATCATTTTCTAGTTTGTTTACCCCTCACAAGACTAAACTATTGGCGTACTTTCGAGAGTTGAGACCAGATCTTTGAAGTTCCTCGACTGATGTCTTGCGACTAGGTTCATTTTAGGATTTGCTTTGACTTATTTTTCCAGTTAAATTAGCAGATGTTGAGAGCAGTTTACGCAATTCATTCCTTATCTGCTTTCTCTGCCTTTGCCTACTCTCCACACTGTCGCTTCACTCTTCTTTCTAAGCCCCTATCAACCATCGCATCACACTGCCGCTCCACCTTTTACAGCCCCCATAACCCCTTTCATGGAGGTGGACGGAATAGGTTCGGGTAAAATGGGTAGTGGAGGGGTAGTCGACAACAGCACATAGGCTTGCAGGGAAAGGTGCAACAAGGGTGCATGGAAGGGGGAAGGTATAGTGTAGGAGCTACGGGAGGGTTAGAGCGTGAGGCAAAGGGGCAAAGAGAAGGTAGGCAAAATGCCATGAACTTATATTGCTAACATGTCCTAAAATTTATATTGGTTTTAGCAAAAGGTAAATAAACGGAAAAGAAAAATGATAGTTCGGGACGAAAGGGGACACTAAAATGCAGATCTGAACTCTAGAATTTGTAATATAAATAGGATAGAAACTCTGTTTATTCCAAAGAAATATTGGATACTTTGCTTTTGTATGTAGTTCGGAGACAAGTTTCGTCTCTGTCTTAATGGGCTATCTTGTTTGCTAAGTTCTAGATTCCGAAGATGAAGGCATACGTGAGTGATACAGAAGACTTAAAGCAGGATCCTTCATATCAAGAGTCTTGGGATGACATGATTATCAATGTAAGCATTAGTAACTTTATCCACATGTTTGAAACATTGAAATTTGTGTCCTCTATCTTTATGATCAAATTATTGTTCAAGACTAGATAGATCAACGTGTAGGGGATTTGTTGATCCTTGATATGTTGCTTTATATTATAAATAACATTGCCGCAGAGAATAAGCATGAAAAAACTACAAAAAAGCAATGAGTAATTTTCACTACTTGGAACAATAAACATTTCTCAATCTCTGAAAGCATGTCGTCTCTGTAGGAAACAATGACTTATCAGCTCCCGATTATGCGAGTTCTTTGATTGCATCTCATGTTTTAACTTTTTTTTAGCTGTAAAAAGGGTAATTTCATTAATAACTCAGCACTAAGATGGTGCATCTCATGTTTAACTTTCAGCAACTTGAAGTAAGTGTCACCCTGCCTCTATGTATTGGACCTAAATTTATCTATCGACAGTTTATTGCAGAATCTTTGGATGTAATTCAGGATGTTGACTGGATTATATCACTTGGAAATGCATTTGAAAAGCAATATGAACTTTATAGTCCTGATGACGAGCACTCTGCATTGCTTCATCGGTAATGTCAGCTATCTTCAATTTGATAACATCACCTGGAACTGCAAATTCTTTTTATTCTACTCTTACTACTCTCACTTAATTTGCTTATTTGTGTTATGTACGCTGTTGTGCATGCCTAATTAATGAAAGTCTACGATTAAATCAATTTTTCTTAATCTCACTTGGCTAATTCAACATATGGATTGTCATAAAAGCTGCATATCTTGTCTTTATCAAAAAGCTGGATATCTTATCTTGGAAGTCTTTTAATTTATTTTATTTTCTTAAAAGCATAGTGATTAGATTTGCTTGGTTTATTAACACTCAAAAAAGATTTCCTTTGTTTATTTGTTTTTGACAGAAGTCTAACAATTGTAACTAACTCCAGATATCAAACACTTATTTTCTGGGGAATAAAGAATTTTATTATTGATGTAGGAAGAATTCCAATTATTTGTCAGAGAGACTTTTTATTAGAATAATTTGGTACACTACATCGCAGGCCCTTGAAGTCTGCTTAGTAAGGATCAAGGAGACCCTCCACCTCTTTTCTTCATTCTTCTTCAGTTTGAGAGTTACTAATCGTTCTTTATTCTCATATAGCACTTTTTCTTTTTTACTTGTTGCCATTGAATCTTTAACTCCGCAGATCCTGACTACAAATTTTGCAAACCAACCTGCACATTATGCTGGCCTTGTTTAGTCTGCAGCTGATGCTTCGATGCTTGATGATTTTAATCGCTCATTATTCTTGTCTGCTCGACCATTTTTCAAATGAAATGAGAGGAAGAGAAACCCCTGAATTGTGAAAATGATATCGTCAAATGTGGAAAAGGTTCCTGATTTTTCTGCATTGCGTGCCCGTGGAAATAAGCTTTTGTTGGGATAGAGCATAATTGAAAATACACTTAATATTTGCTAATTGTTGTTGTTGATAAATAAAGTTATTGTATTGATTCCAAAAAGGTGATGCAACCCAGTGTACAGGTATATACAATTGATAGTTTTAGGACAATGTATTATTGTCTGCATAGCGAGTAGTCATCTGTTTTAATAGGAATCCCAGAGGTGCTTTAACTTTCAAGAAACAAAAAGACCCATCAAAGTTGTATAAGGGGAATTCCTGCCCTACAAAAACTCTCCAATTTCTTTCTTTGTAGATTGTTCGCAATAGTGCACTAGGGTCACAGACTAACAGTCCTGCTCTATTTTCTTCTTCTAGTTCTTTTGATCTTCCACGTAGGAATCAATTCATCAGTATCTTAATAGTTACCAATTATTGACTTTCTAATCCCTAAGGATGGGACATAACTACCTTCAATAGCCATATCTCATTGAAATAGGTGCAAATAGAAAAGGAAGACCTTATAGCTTTAAATTACCACCTCCCTCCCCCTGGGGGGGGGGGGGTTGACAATAGCCATGACATGGTTAATTTTAAGATATTTTACTTGTTGAATTTTTTTGTTCGGTCTAGGATGGGTTGTCTTCGTGACTAATTGCAGGCTCATCCTAGTTTTCTTCCTCGATTCTTTGGGAGGGTTTTTTGAATTCCCAAATCTCACCTTCTACCAGCTCCTCTTCACTCTAAACTGAATAAAGGCTTTTAATTTTGAGGCCATAAAACTATTTGAGCCTCTTTGAAAAATATGTTTCCTTCATCAGCATTGAAGACCCAAAAAAAAAGGAAGAATCTCTAGAAGAGAAAATTATCAGCTTTATGGTTGAGGTACCGCATATTGCTCTTCTCACAGAACAACCATTAAAATGTGCAAGTTAAACTTCCTCGCTGCTCACTGTTCAGTTACGCTTTAAGTGCAATTGTCGATTAAATAGCTTCCTGCCTCTGCAATAGTACAGAATTATGTGGTTTGATGCTTAGCCAGCAATTTCCATCCTTTGTAAGAAAGATTTTTTTGAAACCTCGTCATTTCTTTTCAGGTGTCTTGGAATTTTGCTGCAGAAGGTTCATGACAGAGCCTATGTTCGCGCTAAGATTTATCTGATGTACAAACAAGCTAATATTACGATTCCAACAAATAGACTTGGCTTAGCAAAAGCCATGGGATTGGTAATTAATTTGAAATCAGACAATTGCTTTTCCTAGTTGGCAAATTTGTTAGAAATAGAATCCTAATGGACTTTGAGTCATTGGAGTTATCTTGCTTACAGTGTGCTGATTCAATGTTGCATAGGTGGCTGCATCACACCTAGACACAGTTCTGGATAAGTTGAAAGACATCCTCGACAATGTTGGGAAAAGTATCTTCCAAAGGTGATGTTTGAGCCATGAATTAATTGAGTTCTTTGCATCTTCTTGTCGTCTGAAGTTTCTTTAGACTTGGTAATTCAGATAAAGTAATTATTTTATTAATGTGGCAGGAAAGTTCCTGTTAACAAGTAGTACTTTAGACTTGGTAACTAAGTTCATTAACTTGAAGGCTGGAATTTCGTAACCTTTATCATTTGGAACTTTCTAACTGTGTGGGTACTTTGAGAATTGGATTAGATGTGATTGGTCTTATGGACTTAATTAGGATTTCTGTCTCAATCCAATTATCAAAGTTATCTATGTTACAAATATCTTAAGTAATAACTTCAAATAAAACCTAGTTGCATATGGTAATTGTTATTTAGTATTGTTTTGCTTATTTCATTGTTTTATACATGCTTTTATGTTATGTGCTATAAAATAAAATTTTCCATGCAAAAGTAGGATCATAAAACACTTGATTCCCCCCAATTCTCATCTAACTATTTCCCTAGTAGAAACTGGTTCATGATGTCTGTCCGATGCTTCGGGTTTCAGGTTGTAAGATGTTACCAACTACGGTAAACTAGGAAATCAAAATAAATGAACTGACATGTCCATCTAACTTAAAAGAATAGAAAACGGAAAAAAGTAGCAGCATGGCAACCCTATAAAAAGTATATCATCCTCCTTATAATTAAGAAGTTGGAACAGCTTCTGCCGTGTCATGCAATTCTCTTAGAGAGTAACAACACATTTAGTGTCAGTTTGGTAATAGATAGCAACAGTCACTTTGACATACGAGTTTGTGGCAACTGTGTACTACAATTCTTATTTTCTCGGTACTGCATCTAGAGTATTGTAAGCATTGTGAAGATTTGATTGCTGCAGAATTCTATCATTTTTCTCGGATAGAGGTAAAATGGAAGAATCTGATGATATCCATGCTGCTTTGGCGCTAATGTATGGATATGCTGCAAAATATGCTCCCTCAACTGTTATTGAAGCCAGAATAGATGCGCTAGTGGTATGTAATACTCGTTTCCCCAAATCCTCTATTTTCATCCTTTATTAGAATATGAACTTTTTGATCTTTTGGGTTCCATGTATTATAAGCCTATTCTTGTCAATAGGTGCAAGTTTTTTTCTTAAGTTCATTTTTTAGCGCATTGCATAATCAGCTCTGGAATATAATTTTTCGAACTATATGGCTGCTGTATTCCTTACAGGGGACTAATATGCTGTCACGACTTCTTCATGTCCGCCATCCTACAGCTAAGCAGGCTGTCATCACAGCGATTGATTTATTAGGTTTGTATGGATACCAATTTTGCTGCGGTGATGGAATATGTTTTCCATATCAACAACTTTTCAGTTTCTTATATATATACTAGCTTGCGTGCAGTGCACGTGGTTGTAAAACTTAGAACAATGAATAGATATTGGGTCATCTTACCCAAAAGTTTGATAACACCAGGTATTATATTAAAATAAATTAGTGTCAAAGTGTTAAGATATAAAATATTGGAAGTATGTTTTGAGTTCTGTTCTGTTATCATAGATTTCATTTTGTTCACCTTCTATTAATATACTTTATTTTAAAAAACAAGTTGTAAAATAGTTTTAACAATTGAAAAAAATGAAGTTGTAAAACCTAGTTTTATTTTTCCCAGTAAGAAATGAGGAAGGCTTAAATAATTCTATTTATGCTTACAAAATTAACTTCAAAATTTATTTGCTTATTCTTGATTAAGTTTTTTCCTTTATTCAACGTTAGTTTTCTAAAATGAAATGCAAAAGTAGTTTTGTTGCATATATCACAAATTTAAAATATATGATAAATCAATTCTTTTATTAAAAAGTAAATTAGGCAACTTCATTCTGGTGTTTCTTTCTGTTTGTGTATATTCTTTTTCTAATTGTGGCACTGATTACTGGATAGTGAAAAGTGTTTCTTTTTCTCTAAACGCCGGTTGACCTGAAAATTTAAGTTGCTAGAGAGGGGGCATTTGTATTTATTTATTTATTAGGTTTGCAACATAGTTTCTCACATTGATAACATCTGATAAGTTCCCTTCTTTAGTTAGACTATGAAGTCTTAAATATGAGGGTGAAATGATGCCGGGTAGCATTCTCTCTCTCTCTTTCTCTCTCTCTCTCTCCCCCACATGATTCTTTAGCATTTACCATTGCTAGAGTCTGTCACATCCACTAGATTATAAGTCCTATACGGGAGTGAATATTGGGCCATTAAGGGCCAATACATCCACTAGATGAGTGTTGCAAAGATAAATGCAGCTGAAAGTGGTGTTTATGTGTGTATCATTGTGCTTTAGGTCAAGCAGTGATAAATGCAGCTGAAAGTGGTATATCATTCCCCCTGAAAAGAAGAGACCAGTTACTTGATTATATATTAACATTAATGGGCAGCGATGAGGAAGATGGATTTTCTGAATCCAACACTGAGCATCTGCGCACTCAGGTTTGTGTATTGCCTATGATTTCTCTGCTCAATGCCATTTCATATCTTCATCAGGATTAATAGTTTGTTTGGCCAAGCTTTTTTCTTGGCCAAAAGTGCTTTTTTTTTTTGGGTGTCAAAAGTGCTTTTTCCCCCCCCAAAGTTAAGGTGTTTGGCCAAGCTATTTGAAGGAAAAAAAGTGCTTTTGAGTAGAAGCAGAAGCAGTTTCTGAGAAGGAAAAAAAAGTAGCTTCTCCCCCGAAGCACTTTTTTGAAAAGTACTTTTGAGAAAAATACACTTAGAAGCACTTTTTAAAAGCTTGGCCAAACACTAATTGGCAATTGCTGCTCAAAAGTGCTATTCAAATTGATTAGCCAAACACAAACTGAGTTTCACCAAAAGTACGTTTTTGAAAAGCACTTTTGAAAAAAGCACTTTTCAAATTAAGCAAATTTTAGAAGCTTGGCCAAACATGCTATAAACCACTTTTATGATATCAAGAGATCGCATTGATGTAATAAAACCAGACACCAAGATGGTGAATAGAATGTAAATTACTCTAATTTCCTCTTCTTGTTTTGGAAATTGGTTTTTGAATTGCAGTCGTTTGCTTTAAGTGCCTGCACTACTCTGGTTTCCGTAGAGCCAAAATTGACTACTGAAACAAGAAACCTTGTTATGAAGGTGATAGTGTTGAGCTTCTTCATCAGTGAGGTGGTCTTGGTTTGTTTGTCCTCTTAACATCTTTTTTCACTTGGCAGGCCACAGTTGGATTTTTTGGCTTGCCTAATGAGCCTGCTGATGTTATCGACCCCCTTATTGGCAACCTGATTACTCTTCTATGTACAATACTCATTACAAGGTACTTCCTCTCTGGTTAACTTGTCTTTTTCTTTTTTAAATAGTTTGTTAAATTAAGCTATATTCTTAATGTGTAGCAGCAGCTTAATGTACTTTCAAGCCAATCAGATTAATTCATGGTGCATATTCAATAAACGAAACTAGCTATAGTTGAATTACCCCAAGAAAGTAACTGTTCTTACGAAATGTTGCAAAAGTAATAAAAATGATTCTGAAGTCTAATTTAGCCAATGCATTGAGCTATTGACAAATAAAGAATTACGGGGCTGTTTCTAAAGGCAAAAAAGTGAATCATGCACAACGTACATAAATTTATTTTCGTTGTCTGTGCTGAAGACAATGACGTGCATGTGGGCGCTCACGCATACATATCCTCGATAATATACTTGGCAACAGTACTTTATGAGATTAAAGTTACAACTTTTTGATGGTTAATATTTTTGATACGCGTGATGACCGTCCGATATTTGACTAGTACAATCTAATTGATCCAATTAATAGAATATGGTATACCGGTCATACAATTAAGATATGTTTGTATGTTCAGAGAGGCCATACTGAATCCGAGTTCTGATCCCTGCCACTTTGTAGCCTATGTGTAGGTCTCTATCTGCTTAGAGATTACACATGCTAAATCTGTTGTATCCTGAAAGCTGCACAATTGATGGGTTTTTTCACCCTCCAGTCTCTGGGGAATGGGGAAGGTTGCCACAGCAATGTTTCTACCTGCTACCTTGACATTTTTGTCAAAGGAGTACTACAGTTTCTTTTTGTTATAGCCAAAATTGAATCCTGCAGCTTTATTGTGAAATAAAACTGGTTTTCTTAGCTTATGGTGCTTTGGTTAGCCATGAGATTCTGGAAATTTGGCAAAAATTGGTGTGAAGCTTAGGTGAGGCAAAAATTCTCTTGTTCCTAGTGGAATGCAGATATTTCTTATGAGCTTGATACACATAATTGAAGAAATCTACATCCTATGCTTCTTTGTCATTTACGTGTAAAGTTCCTTTAAGCCCAGATCTTAAATACATCCTCTGTCTCAATTTATGTAATGCGCTTTTCTTTTTAGTCTCTTCCAAAAAGAATGATATCTTTCTATATTTAGAAACAGTTTAACTTTAAACTTCTCATTTTACCCCTAGTGATGATTTAAAGCCACAAACTTGTTTTAGACCATAAGTTTCAAAAGTCTTTCTTTCTTTCTTAATTAAACTCCGTTCTCAGTCAAAGTGCATCACATAAAATGAGACAGAGGGAGTACTTTTTAGGATATCAGAATCATGAGTATATGTTCCCAGAATGAAAAATGGCTTGAGGCTTTGGGAAAGGACAAACTTGCTGGTCGTGTCTGTCAAATTGTCTAAACTGCCCATCAGTATTTTAAAATCTAACAACTTTTCAGTTTCGATTGAAAATTGTGCTCATCAAAATGCAGAAGAATGTTTGGAAAACTTTTAGAAAGCAGAGCTGCATGCTGTTATTCTGTAGACTGAGACGTGTATAAAACTGCTTGGCAATAACTCCAGTAGCGGCAGATTAGATGAGAAGATTTATCCATGATTATGTCTCTGTGTGTGAAACTTTCTTGCTGTGCTTGGATGTCTTCTTGGTACAGGAGGACATGAATGTATGCATTAATTGCAGTCAAGTAGACCGCAGGCCATGCATTATGATTGTTGTTTTTCTCTCAACTGATGTTTCTGTTGCTTTCTTGTAATTAGTGGAGAGGATGGAAGAAGTCGAGCAGAGCAATTATTGCACATATTGAGAAAGGTCGATCTGTATGTTTCCTCTTCTTTGGACTACCAGAGGAAAAGAGGGTGTCTTGCAGCTCATGAGCTACTTTTCAAGTTTCGGATGATCTGTATCAGTGGATACTGTGCACTAGGATGTCGGGGAACTTGCACCCACAGAGAGAAAACTGACCGTGCTTTACATCACACCTTATCTAATTTGCCTTGTAAGTGCCTTTCTTTTGCATAGATTTCATACTAGATTTTTTGTACAGACCTAATACTTTTTCCTTGATACCAGCTGCATTTGCTTTACCAAGCCGTGATGCTTTGCGCTTGGGAGAGCGTACAATGATGTATCTTCCGCGATCTGTAGATACAAGTTCTGAAGTCCGAAAAGTTTCTGTTCAGGAAAGCTTCGATCTATTCCAACGAATCTAAGTGGCCTATGTGATTAGCATGCCGATTTTTTCTTCTTCTGTTCTTCGTTTCTTTGCATCTAACAGATTTGATGGTTTTCTTATGGCAGATCCTTCATCTATATTTCAGTATATCTCTATCACTTCCAAGGCCTGCAAATTCTAGTTTCACCAATGACATTGAATCATCCTATAGTGCTTTGTCTTCCCTTGAGGATGTTATAGCTATTCTACGGAGTGTGAGTTTTCCCGAATGCTTCCCTTTTTCTTCTTCTTCTTTGTAAATCTTTGCTTGCTGAAAAAATAGTAAAATGAGAGAACGATGTGATACCTAAGTATTTAATGAGAGCGCGCTGTAATACCTTAGTATTTTTATTTCACTTTGCGTCTTCAGTATATAAACCTTTTTACTTCTGAACTCATTCATATTTCCAGGATGCTTCAATTGATCCGTCAGAGGTGTTTAACAGGGTTGTTTCATCTGTTTGCATCTTGCTGACAAAGGATGAGGTATCATTTAGCTTGTTATAAAGTGCTGGCCAGTTACGCATTCTCTGTAGCCTCATGTTATTCCAATATGTACAGCTTGCTGCAGCTTTGCATGGTTGCTCGGGTGCTATATGTGACAAGATCAAGCAATCTGCAGAAGGTGCAATCCAAGCAGTTAATGAGTTTGTTACAAAGAGAGGGAATGCGCTGAATGAGACAGATATTGCAAGGTATTCTCAGCCAAACCAATCTTAAACTAGCGTTGATACTGACTGAAGTAGTTATTCAACTTTTCTTCCAAGGATTGACAAGGTTTCTGTTTAACTTTGGTTTATATTTTTATGCCAACAGAACAACACAATCATTGCTCTCAGCGGTAATTCATGTGACAGAGAAGTATTTACGTCAGGAAGCTCTTGGTGCTGTATCTTTGAGGCAATTTCTTTTTAACCACTGAAGCAGAATATGTTTACAAGTTATGGCTAGATTATCAACGTTTTCTGGTTTCCTTATTAGCAACTGCCCTATGTTTTGGTTGCATTTTTTAGTGTTATAAGTGTTGGTTGCCATCAATCTTTTCCTTAATTGTGAGAAGATATGTTCCCTTGCGGAGAACACAAGCTCAAGAATTGTTTTCAACGAAGTTTTAGCTGCTGCAAGAAAGGACATAGCCACAAAAGATATATCTAGATTACGGGGTGGGTGGCCAATACAGGATGCCTTCCATGTGAGTATCCTAATCTGTAGTCTGGTGGCATGTTTTCGTTCTTCAGATCTGCCTTGATGTATAGTAGAATTAATCTGCATCGCGCCATAGAAAATAGTTGAAGCATCAGCGATCAAGAAATGAACTGGGTATCAAATTGGAGGAACTATAAGTAAAGGACACGAAAAGGGAGGAAATACTCAACAGAATGTAAGTAAATAAAACTGAACATGAAGGACTAGTTACAAGACAGCCACATAGAAGTATGAAAAATATTGTCTTCTCATACATCAACTTTTATGTTCTTGAAAAATTCAAGCACATTGACATACTCTGCATGACTAAGTAAACTGCAACTCGTTGAATCAGGTACTGAGGCTGGTTTTTATTGAGGTTCTCATGAATAAATGGAGGATCATTATTTCCATCCTTTAGCATATCCCTGGAACTAGTTTGGGATTAAGGCAGTTATTTGATTATTAACTATTTGCGCAGGAGCTGCTAGAATTGGCATTGCGATAGTCCTTGAATTGGTTCTTCTCATTGACAAATAGGTGATCAGTTTTGTAAAAGTCAGTGTAAGAACAAGAAAATAATCTGATGTGTGAGATTTCAAGAGGTGCTAAAGATCTTCACATGGCTTGATAAAGTTACATCACTCAATGAGGCTCCAATATTTTACTATTCCTCTACCTAAAGAACATCCAAAAGACGAGTCATAGATTCAGAACCTCATGTTTAATCTGGCAAGACAGTAGACAGAAGACCTTTATTGAACTGTGTATGTGAGATAAGTAAGTATAGCATCTTATGTTGCTCCCTCATTTCATTTAGCAAAGCTTATGTGGCTGGATAATTATTAAAGGATTTTAGGTTATTTTAGCCAAATGTATGATCATAACCAACGAGTATAATTTACATAGCTGGTCCTTAGGAATTCCGACTGGTAAAGGTCGTGAACAAGGGTCTAAATGAATCACCGTCTTCAAATATGGTATTTTCTACCGTAGCACCATGAATAGCACATTCAAAATGAATCAGTATGTTCTTATGTGTGGCCATTTACTCTCTTTTATCTGGTGATACATGTTCGTGTTAGATAGTTATGTGTAAATAGTCCTAGTCCCATATGTAGTAGGAGTAGAATATGTCCTAGTCCCATAAGTAGTAGGAGTAGAATATGTATTATATATAGTGCTCATTGTATCATTGTCAAAATAGATTTTTCTCCCGTGCATTCTCACATGCTATCGGAGCTTCAGTGAGAAATTTATCGTTGTGCGTCATTCCAGCGACATCCGGGAAGAAAGATCTCATCGCCGTGTAATTTTCCGGCAACTTCGTCTTGTTCCCAGGGTTCATCACTGCTACTGTGGTACTGTGCATATACCACCATCAGATCCAAAACTCTTGTGCGACCAAACCCCAGAAATTCCAGTCCCAGCGGAACATAAAGTCAGTGCGTCTTTTCGATTGACGACTCAAGATTGATTTGCGTTATCTCCTCATTGGTAAGTGTTATGCGAAAACCAATACTACCATCTTGTTCGAAAAAGTCAGGTGACAAAACCTTAGTCAATCGCTCCGGCAGAAAGTCACTCACGTGCCTCCACGCGCCGCCAGAACTAGGGTTCTGGCGAGCTACAGTAATTTTTCCGGGGCGTGTGAGCCATTCCAGCCACTTTTTGACAAAACTTCTTCAGGGCAACTTACTCGTCCCGTGATTCCGAGCCTACGCATATAAATTACATCAAATTCTGACAACTACTTTTTTTCCGGCGTGAACAATGCACCTTTTCCGGTGTGAACAATGATTTTCTGATATGAACAGTAATTTCCAGAAAAGTTTCTGTTTTCTGGTGGTGTTTTAGAACCTATTTTGTAGTGTGGAATTCGGCTTAGTCTCATTATTTTCAAATTCAAATTTTTCCTGTGACTTTTCGGCAAACTTCTGTTTATCAGCAACCACCTGGTTTTGTTGCTCAAGAGGAGTGTAGTGGCCTTGCATGTCGAATGATTAGCTTGCAGATATTTTCACCAAGCCCCTCACTGGTCCTCATATTAGTTACATATGTAACAAGCTCGGTACATATGATTTGTATGCACCGGTTTGAGGGGGAGTGTTAGATTTATGTATAAATAGTCCTAGTCCCATATGTAGTAGGAGTAGAATATGTATTATATATAGGGCTCATTGTATCATTGTTAAAATAGATTTTTATCCCTTGCATTCTCACAGTTCGTACCTAAAAGGCTAAGATATTACAGAATATTTGAAGTGTTAACTGGGGTGAATTACTTTTAGAGGGAACTCCACACCTTGGAGCTTTCACCTTTTTAGAAATGTATTGTTTTATAGTGTTTTGAGATGTACTCTTCCTAGCTCATGTTGCTTTTGATAAGAAATGGACCTTGGGCCTTACTCAACCTCAAAAGCTAGCTCAAGAGCTGAGGTTCACCCAAAACCATATAAAGAGACCTTCCCATCCCTCTATAGCCGATGCAGGACATAATATGGGGGTCGGGTAAACCAAGAATTGGATGGGTCGTGTTCGATATCATGATAAGAAATGGAACTTGAACCTAAATTAATCCCAAAAGCTAGCTCATGAGGTGAGGATTGCCCAACACCATATAAAGAGACCTTCCCATCCCTCTACAGTCAATGTGGGACAAGCTGAACAACTTCAAAATTCTTCTTTTCCTAGCTTATATGTCATTGGGGAAATCTGAGATCCTCAATGATGTCAAACCTTTTGTTGGTAACAGCAACGAGGAGAACCTATGCCATGAAAGAAAGAAGGAATGCTAGAATAGGGGACAACAAAATCATCTTGGTTTTGCCCATATAACCTAAAATCTAAATGTTTAACATGATCATGCTTTACAAGAAACTTTATCATATGCTCCTTGTCAAAAAGAAACTTTAATATATGCTATATTAACCAACTTATTTCTTTTCTTCATCGGTGTTCTAGTTTTATTTATCTGAGTTGAATTGCCACTAATTGCCAATTTATATTTGTCTTGAATAGGTGTTCTCACAGCATTCAGTACTTTCATTCACGTTTCTGGACCATGTTATGTCTGTCATCAATCAGTTGCCTCCTCTTGGAGGGGATCTGGATCACGATGAAAGTTCTGAGCATGCAGTTGATAGTATTGTAGAAGATAATATTGCAAGAGCAGCTATTGTTGCGCTTACTGCTTTTTTCAGGTATTGTTTCCAATTGCATTGTCTTTTTCCTTTTCTTTCCTGTTGAATTTGTTGCCCTATCATTTTTGCTCTTCCAATTCATCAGGGGTGGTGGTAAAGTTGGTAAAAAAGCAGTTGAGCAAAGTTATGCTTCTGTTCTTGCAACACTTACGCTTCACCTGGGCAGTTGTCATGGCTTAGCTAGGACTGGTGAACTAGAACCACTGCGGTAGTGTTCCAGAAAACTCACTTTTTATATATGGTTATCAAAAGATTTCAAAAGCATGTTATTTGTTGTACCTATTACAGTTACCTCACCTGTTCCCTACTCTATCTAGTGCTCTACTGGCTGCATTTCAAGCATTCTGTGAATGTGTTGGTGATCTGGAAATGGGAAAGGTGAAGATTTTTCAGACTACACTTCTGGAAATCTTCTTAAATAATTGACCTTTTTATGGATGGTTTTGATGATAAGGATTCTGTCCTGTGATCAGATTCTTGCGCGAGATGGAGAGCAAAGTGAAAATGAGAAGTGGATCAACCTTATAAGAGATCTGTCTGGCTGCATTTCTATAAAAAGACCAAAAGAGGTAGGATATCCTGCACAAACACTGCCTCTTGCTTCCTTTGTCCATTATTTGCTACTTCTATCTTCCTGTCTCCCTCTGCGCATTACTTTGTCAAGATTATGGATGCTATAATGATACTTACGAAAATAGAAAAAACTTGCTGGGATGACAATATACCCACATTTTAATATTTGTTTACCCTTTCTTTCCTATTTTTCCTCTTCTGTCCCATTCCTTTTTCCTATCACTTTTGTTTTTGTTTCTTTTGTCAAGGTGCATTGCTCTAGAAAATTTTTTAAAGTGAGAAAATTACTTTTTTTAGGATCAAGTAATTTGTGGATGTGGAAATAAATTGTTGAGTTTTTTTTTTTTGAGATGGTAACAGATCCAATATATTAATAAATCATCAGCACAAAATTTGTACTGGAACCAAGATTACATCAAGAAGAGCTAAGACAAAAACAAAAATTAAACTTCCTTGTTCTTCATACAAGGAGCCTAAGACTTCTATGATTGAATCTTGTCCATCTATATATTCTGCTTTACACCAAAAACTAAAAAGTAGAATGCAATTCATTTTGATCTTCTGTACAGGGCTACTTATATCTTCAAAACACCTTGCATTCCTCTCCTTCCAAATTGTCCATGGCTACTGGGACAATTTTCCATCTATCTTTGTTAGGTGTAGACCAACCCCCCCGGTTCCAGCTAGACAAAAGTTCATAGGTTCTTCCTGGCATTGTCCATCGGATACCCCTGATGTTAATGAACAACTCCCACAGCTGTCTTGCCACTCTACAATGTAGAAACAGATGTCTCTGCATCTTGGCCACACAAATAACATCTAGAACAGATTGGTAACCCTCTTTTCATGAGGTTTTCTTGAGTGAGTACTGCTTCTTTAGCCACCAACCAAGTAAAGCATGCCCCTTTATATGGTATTTTGACTTTCCAGATATGCTTCCAGGGCCATAGGCTGAGTTGAGATCCTACCCGATTCAGATTTTTATAAGCTGATCCTACTGAAAACCTCCCGCTGCTATGTTTCTGCCATACTAGAGTGTCTTCCCCCTCTTGTAATCCTCTGCATTGTTCCAAAGTATTGTAAAATTCTGTTATTGTAGTTAGTTCCCAGTCTTGTAACAATCTTCTATTATTCCCCTCTTGTTGAGTTTGGAAGGAAAACTAACAATTTCTAATTCGTCTACAGCCTTGAAGAAGTTACCTGGTCAGGAGAGATTTCTACCCTTATTTAACCCTTTTCAAAAGCATGTTTAAGTTCCAGAGATCCCCTCGTCATCTTGTTAATTCTGTCGTCATAAATTTTGGTTGAGACTGGTGCAAAGAGATGGAAATAAACTGAAATCAGATGGAAATATACTTGTGTAGTTTTACAGTTTACATTCCTACAACCCAGATCAGTGAGAACTTCCTTTATATCTGTGCATCTAGAGTTTGTCATTACTATTGATCCTTTTAATAAACTGAAAACCATGCAATGCCACTAGAAACTGTTGGCTTTGTGAAAAAAGCCAAGTGAAAAGCTGATAGGAACTTGGGAACATGGAGACTAAGAGAAAAAAGGAACTTTCCCGAGAAGATGAAGAGATGGAAGGGTGAAACAAGTAATAATAACTGCAAAGATTCTAAATAAGAAAGAATCCTAAAATATAAAGGACCTAACATCAAAATTCTAAAGGACCATGTGAATGACGACAAAAAAGTACTATCGATTCATTTTGAGAAATGACAAAATGGTCCCTTATGTTGGGGGTAGGTTTAAAATACTTCCTTAGATATACTCCTGAGCAGTTTTGAGCAGTTTTAGTCCTGTAAGTTTGCCAAAAGTTTTATCACTTTTGGTCTCCGTCAAATATTTAACAAACTCTGGCAGTTAGATTTAACGGGAACTATGAACAAAAAAAGGTTTAACCAAAAACACCGGAAAAATCCCGTCAAACCCTAGAAACTGCAACACCAAAAGCTACACTAGACACCAGAAATAGACCAAAACTAGCAGAAACTGCACCTCAACCAATGGCAACAGATACCAGAAAGAGACTTAAATTAGCCAAAACTGCACCTCCAATGTGAGTTGTCGTTAATTTTTTTACTTTCACAGTTTATATTATATCTAGTAACTGGAGTTTGTTAAATATTTAATGGAGACCAAACATGCTTACATTTGACAAACTTAAAGGCCCAAAACTGCTCAAGGTAATATTTAGGGGACTACTTTAGACCTATCCCCAAAAGATAAGGGACCATTTTGTCATGTTCTTGGTTCATTTACTAGTATTTACACGTATAAAAAATGAAAGTGAATGAGAAAGAACCCTAAAATGTAAAGGACCTTAACATCATAGCCAGATGATGCTCTATGAGAATATCCAGATTTCATCTTAAGCTGTTGTCCATCTAACTCATGCCTCCATATCGGGCCCTAAAGCTCAACGAGACGGCCAGATTTCTTGTTATGTAAAGTGTGCTTGTAGATATTTAGTTCCTCGATTAAATTTGTGTGATAAATTTGAAAATCTCACTAGGAGTATTTTATCAGGTTCCAGACATATGTTTGATACTGAGCAAAGCACTGGATCGATCTTTAAGATTTCAAAGAGAATCAGCTGCTGCGGCTTTGTCGGAATTCTTACGCCATAGGTATATGAAATTTCTGAACTGCTCTATTAATTATTTGATGATGTTTGAAGTTGGATTCGAAATTTAACAAAGTTATGAAACGTGTGGGGCACATCTGAGCTTGCTAGTTGAGTTAGAGGCAACTTGTGTACATCCGTTCTCCCTACTCAATTGATGAATCACAATGAACTATGTTGAAAGCACCCAGCATGTGCTGGTAAAAACAAGTAAATAGAAAGCTTTGTAAGCTTACAGCCTTCAAGAGTGTTAAGTGATAGTTTACACTGTGATAGTAATGTTTATATTGATGTTCTCAAATCCTACTCTTCTCCTAAGCTTCCTAAGGCGTGGATGCAAATTTATGCAGTGACGGCTTTGGTCCCCTATTAGAGCAGATGGTGCAAGCACTTTGCCGGCATGTATCGGATGCTTCTCCTACTGTTAGGCGCCTTTGTCTAAGAGGGCTTGTCCAGGTATTCCTGGACATATAGTGTTCATTTTTCTTTTTCTTTTCTCTGGGCCATGAGGAGGGATGTTTTCTCGAGGAGTTTTCCTGGATGGTGTTTTTCCCCCCTTTTTTGACTTTATCAGTAAGGAGTCACTCTGTCAGTTTGATTTCATTGGTTAAATAATATCATGGCATCACTTCGGAGATACTCCTTTAGTTAATATTTTTCTTCCCTCTGTTTTTCCCTTTGCTTTGACTACATACATGTTTAATTCTTCTCCCAAAAGAACATGAAATGTTTAAGATGAACTAGTAAAACACCACCGTAATCATTGCTGGACGACTTCTTTCACTTTTCTCGGGTTGATGCTCATTTCGCATGCTGGTCTTGCAGATGCCATCTATCCATGTTCTCCAGTATACTACCCAAATCCTAGGGGTGATATTAGCTTTGCTCGATGATTCAGATGAGTCGGTTCAATTAACTGCAGTCTCATGTTTGCTGATGGTAAAACTTGCTCCGTCTTTGTTATCTTCTTTTGTTTTACTTTCAAATGTTCTTGCTGATATTCCATGATGTAGGTTCTTGAGTCTTCATCCAGGGATGCTGTAGAACCTGTTCTCTTGAACCTTTCCATACGGCTTCGAAATCTGCAAGTAAGTTGATTGACTATCAGAATTTACCTCTCTTCAACTTTGGATTTTCTGGTGCCATTCTAATAGCTTGAAACATGTTGAATTACTGTATTAGTCCGGTTGTGTCACATTCTAAATTATTAATAACAGGGTGCCATTGTGTTAGAAAGAATTTTACATCATGACAGTGTCTAACACAACTCTGTTTGGACATCCTAGGGTGATGTGTGTTTTGCTTTGATCACAATATTTTGCATTATTTGTCAGCTTTCAAGACATCTCTCATGATACAAGTTGTACTTTTTTATATTTTGCCCCTTGTTAAGTTTATGTGCAAGTTTTTTACGTATGTGAGTGACACCAATATAATGTACTGTGCTGTTGTTGCCACTATTGTGGTCTAGGTTCTATAAGAGCTGAAGTAATTTAGTTTTGCACGAACTTAATGGTAGGTTTTATAATTTGTCTCTGAATACTGGTGCATATCATTGTGTTATCATCCCTTGGGAAAGAAGCACATTGTTTCATCATTATCTTCTAAACTGTGGATAACTAGAAATATTAGCAAGTCCATGTTGAGATGGTCATAATGTACAGTTCTAATTGCTATCTAATGAAAGGTGTGCATGAATGAGAAGATCCGAGCCAATGCGTATGCTGCATTTGGAGCACTGAGCACCTATGGAACTGGGCCTCAACGAGACTCTTTTCTTGAGCAGGTATCTTGTTTCTCATCAACCATTTGTCACCACCTATATTTGATTTAATATTTTTCTCTTTAATACATAGTTTTTAGATATTCTTCTGAATTTCATCAATTTTGATTGCATCATAAGGTCCTATATCCAACATCACAAGTCAAGAATGTCTCAGACTTTGATGTTTTGTTTGTGTTGGCTTTATCATATTTCGCTGAGCGCGTATAAAGGAGTTTATTGTCCAAAACTTCATATTCAACTGTTCTTCTTCATCAAATGAACAATGTTTATTTTATTGACGATACAATTCATTTGTTAGAGGAAAAATAAGGGGCAACTAAACTTGGTAGTTATGTAGCTGAATTGGCCAAGTCAATCATGCTGCCATTTCTTTATAAAAATGCCTTCACTTTCCAGTAATAGATGCTCTTTATGTATATTTATTGAATCATGAAATTCCTAGATGTATTTCTATTTTATGCTGGATCTCTTTGACTTTTAATACCTTTAATCTATTGCCTTAGGCTGGGATTGCCCATTAGTGGATATGTCTGATGTTTTGCCCAATGTGGAGCCGTTATAAAGAAATACTGTTACTAGCAATGCTGTGATAAACTTTTTCCCTTAGAGATATTCTACCACTTTACATTTTTCTTGAGCTTGAGTTAAACTTGTTTCTCTGAGGAGCATAATCTAGGCTACTCATTGCTGTTAATGGGTCTGTTAATTTCAGTGTTATCACTCATCATGGCATCATTTGTTTGGATGACATCATTTTTACTTTTCCCCCCGAGGCCTCAGTCAGCAGTGAAAATATTTTGTTTTACGATCCACATTTCTTGATCAGTTCACTGTTAATCTGAAGGATCTCATGCTTCTTTCTTCTGCTATCCATCATTAGACTTTACTTGGTTAAAAAAGGGTAATGAATGTATCCTTCTATCCGCATCCTCTTGGTCACACATTATTTATGAATGGGCTATATGATTTAACTGAGCTTACATTTCTGTTAGAGGTATGCTGAGTAAAAATATGTTAATTTTCACTTCACCATTTGGATAATCAATTTCTTGTCTGTTTCCTTCCTTTCATTGAACTTTATCAAGAAATGATCTTCACTTTTTTTACTCGTCAGGTCCATGCTGCTTTCCCACGGATGGTTCTACATCTTCATGAGGATGATCTTAGTGTGAGACAAGCTTGCCGAGTAAGTTTAAACTGCTAGCTTGTCTTTTTTACGTTGTTCAGGATGCGAAATGAGTTAACTTTTCAACATGCCAGAGCACTTTGAAATGCGTTGCTCCCTTGATGGAAATTGATGGAATAAATGCTCTTTTGAACACTCATTGGTTTAGTTCGGACCACCGGTATGTATCCATTGATTTGAGTAGTCCTTAATGGTTATTTATAAGAAATGGTATTAAGTTCCCTTTATTTTTAGAAGCGACTATGAAGACTTTCTCCGAGAGCTTGCAAGGCAACTAACTCAACATCTTGCTGCCCGAGTTGATACGTACATGGCATCAATAATACAGGTCCATGTTGTTCCTTTTTTAATCTTTCATTAAGAGAAGAACTATTGAATATATACTTGTCCTTGTGTTGAAAATGCCATTAAGTTTAGCTCTATGATGACTTGGTACAAGAAAAAAATTGTGATCTCCTACCATTCAAAGATAAATGCAGCTTCCTTTCCTAAAAGGATGGTAGGTTTCTTATATCAAATTCTACTAAATACTTTCTTAAACCGTCTTTGTTGCCTGATCCATTATTATGTCTTTACTTGTTGCCTGATATATACACCGTAGTCGAATCAACCTGAAACAAGTAAAATTGCCAAAGACGAAGTTGTGAAATTTTGGGATGAATGTTTTCTCATTTCATGCTAAAATAGCTGTCAAATTTTGATGTTCATGCAGTGTGCTTGATTCGTCCATGCAGTAACATATAATGGGAAGCAAAAGATGAGGTTGTCTATGTAAAACCAAGCTAGAGAATGGCAAAATAAGAAGATTTAGCATGTATTGCAAGCCATAATGTTGTTGTCATAGAGATATACCATTTTTGGCATATCTGAGTAACAAATAAAAAATTAAAGATGAATAAATTCCCTTTAATATGTCTCCTACAAATTTTACTCTAATGTGCCTAGGGATTGACTGCAATTCTCCTAGAAGGGTTTGACTGGGGGAGAAAGGTGAAATTAACTAAGTTAATAATCTTGAAGCTTCCTTCTGTGATTCTGTCTATCTATTGAATACTCTTAAGGCTGCATAAGCCGATGCTTATTGATTGAAAGTGAGAAAACTTACAAGTTGCTCCTGTCTCAGAGATGAGTGAAGCTATGCATCTGTTGACAGTGGATGCTGCAGTTGCATTTTAATTCTAGCATGATTAGTTATGTTGCTGATAATATGAAACTATTTAAGACATTTTCTGAGNCTTTTCTCTCTTTATTGATGTACTTGCTAATAGGACTCGACTTGAGTACCGTGTCACAAGAATAGCTGAAAACTGTGAGACCAAGTAAATTTTATAGCCTTTTCTAAAGTTAAACTGGAGATGAATTGCTTTCTATAGCCTCATCTAAACTCAGAAAACAACTTGGTAAAACATTTCTGGTGTACAGGCATTTGATGCTCCTTGGCCAGTTGTCCAGGCAAATGCTGTTTATTTATGTAGCAGCGTGCTTTCTCTCTCCGACGACAAGCACATATCAGCCCTCTTCTACAATCAGGTCATTTCATGTCACCCTTTCCATGTCTGATTGTAATAAAGGATCCTTATATGTTCTAATTTTTTTTTGGGATCTGCATTCTTTTAGGTTTTCGGGATGCTAGTTGGCAAAATGAGTCGTTCAACGGATGCAATTGTTAGAGCAACTTGTTCTTCAGCCCTAGGCTTGTTGCTCAAATCATCCAATGCAAGCTCTTGGAAGGACGTTCGACTTGATCGAGTTGATTCATCGCATAGGGGCCATGAACCAGAATCTGCTAGGAGATTATGAATATTAATTAGCGTAACCTACAGCATCTACATGAAAGCAGGAAACTCTCACGTTAAATCTTCCCGTTTCAAGAGCTCTTATGGTGGTTCAAAGTGTATAGTTTTCGACAATATTTTTTGTTGTTGTCTCTATGCCTCTATTCTTTTTGTGTATATTAGGGTTGTATAAAAGGTTTGGCTTTTTGTTGTATCTGTGTAAAATAGTGTGCCCGTGTTTGTACATCCTTGTAAAGTGATTCTCTCTAACATCTCATGTTAACATTTAATTCTATTTATGTAAAAGCTTGAGTCCAACCGCTAATTGGCAATTCTGGAACTAGAGACAATTCGGCAAAGTTACTTGTCCGAGCAATGTTTTTGGAAGCCACCAACTTATGTGCTGTTTCTTGTTCAATTGCTCTACCTTTATCTTTGTCGAGCATCTTTTATGTTTGGATTTAATTTATATGCATTGATAGCAGGAAGAATATTTACAGTATCTGTGTATTTTAATCGGTCATAGCAAATTATTTACTGCACTTTTTTGATTTACCGAATTATGACTATTATAGATATTACTTGTTGCTGGTCCAAGTAATATCATTAACGTGGGACTACGGAGAGGTAGAGGTAGGTCAAAGAAGAGGTGAGGAGAGGTTATTAGGCAAGACATGGCACAACTTCAGCTGACCGAGGACATGACCCTTGATAAGAAAGTATGGAGATCGAGGATTAGAGTAGTAGAGTAGGTAGTCTAGAGTGTTCATAACAGTAGGATTGGCACGTAGTCTCGCTTTTTGTTGGTAGTAGGTTTTTATGACTAGCCGTTTTCTTTCATTGTTGATCACCTTACTATCTTGTTTTTATTCTGCTTTTATATGGCTTTTTGGTACTGTCTTTTCTTGTCTATATTTTTATTAATGTGGTGCTTATGCTTTCCTGAGCCGAGAGTCTATTGGAAATAACCTCTCTATCCTCACAAGGTAGGGGTAAGGTCTGCGTACGCACTACCCTCCCCAGATCCCACGATGTAGGATAATACTGGGTATGTTGTTGTTGTTGTACTTGTTGCTAGTCATTTTAATCTGATGGGGTAAAAGAGTACTTATGTTGCATACCCTGGCCGTCTTGATAGAAGGAAGAATTAAATTAAACTCTTTCTTAGCCTTTTATTTCTGGTGGATGCTGGTGTAATAAGCGTGAATATTTATCCTGTGGTGTAATATTATCAAATATTTGTGAACTATTTGTCTTTGCAGTAAAATGCTTTTAACCTTTTTCAGATACCTTCTTTATAGGAAGGTAACAGAGCCAGATAGTTGTGCTATATAAAGGGGCGAATTTCAGACTTTTTTCAATTAATTTTACAACCATTTTGGAGACTTGGGAGCTCGGTATCTCATTAAAGTTCCAATCCTGTAAGCATATGTCAAATTTATTTTATTTAAAAGCTGAAACAGGTCTATTGTTTAATAGCCAGTGCAAGGGATGTCTTCTGGTTTGGTGCACAAAACATGTCGAAATAAAGAACGAATTTGGCACATCCCTTTTTATGATTATTTGCCTGGTGTACAAAACATGTCGAAAATTGACAGAACTATGTTCACCTTTTTTCTATATAAGTTTCCTCCTTTTTGTACTTGAAGGAAGAAGGCAGATGTAGGGATATTTATCAGATATATTGACATATATAGCATCGTGGGAGATTGAGATATAGTATTACATTTATGTTGCATAGAATCCAATTATTTTTAAGTGACCATCTAACTAAGCACATAGGAAAACCTTCAATCATTTACCATTCAGGCGCTTCTAATCGGAAAAGATTAAATACAAGCAGAATGTGATGACCCAAAATGTCATCTTTAAATTTAATAAGTAATTTTGTGTTCTAAGCACATTTATCATTCCTCGACTTGCGTGCGCAGTCCGTATAATTTTTCGGAAAGTTTTTATGTGAAAAAAGGGATTAAAATGTGAAATAGAGTTTTAAAACTCAACTGAGTTGACTTTGGTCAATATTTTGAGCAAACGGACTCAGATCAGTGTTTTGACACTTCCGGTAGGTCCGTATCGTGATTTGGGATTTGGGCGTATACCCGAAATCGAATTCCGAGGTCCCTAACCCGAGATATAGAATTTTGATGAAAAATTAAAAGCTTGAAAGCTTAATGATTTTTAAGAAATTACTGATATTGGATTTATTGACCCGGGTCTGTATTTTGGTTCCGGAGTCCGGTATGGGTCCACTATAATATTTATGACTTGTCTGCCGAATTTTGTGAGAATCGGAGTTGATTTGACGTGATTCAGACGTCCGGTTGTGAAAATATAAGTTTTAAAGTTTTCTTGAAAACTTCCTTTGATTTAATGTCCGATTCGTAGTTTTATGTGTTTATTTTGACGATTTGATCATGCGAACTAGTTCTTATGATATATTAGGACTTGTGGGCATGTTTGGTTTAGAGCCCCGAGGGCTCGGGTGAGTTTCGGATGCTCAACTGGCCATTTCGGACTTAAGAAAGATGGCAGGTTTCTGGTGTTTTGTTGCAGAATTTTTACTCATCGCGATCGAGTGAAGTCGTTCGCGATCACGTAAGGCAAACTAAGAGGTCAGCCAAAGTTGCTCTTCGTGTTCGCGAATTTGTGGTTGCGATCGCGTAGAGGTGTGAAGAGGTGCTTCGCGAATGCGTGGACAAGGTCGCATTCGCGTAGAGTTAAAGAGGCTAAAGCTGAGCCACGCGCTTACTCATCACGATCGCGTGAGTTCATTCGCAATCGCGTAAGTCCGTGAGTCAAAGCATCGCGTTCGCGTAACATTCTACGCGTTCGCGTAGAGTAAATTTCTGGGGCAGCAAAGTAGAGCTTTGCGATCGCGAGGCTATTCATGCGATCACGATTAAGGAAAACTGGGCAGCCAAAAATGTGCTTCGCGATCGCGAGGCTATTCATGCGATCACGATTAAGGAAAGCTGGGCAGCCAAAAATGTGCTTCGCGATCGCGAGGCTATTCATGCGATCACGATTAAGGAAAGCTGGGCAGCCAAAAATGTGCTTTGCGATCGTGTAGGGTAAAATTTGGACAAATACAACTTTAGTTCTGGAAAATGGGATTCGTCCCATTTCAACCCTTTTTCCTTTTTGAGCTCGGGTGAGGCGATTCTTGGGCGATATTCATGGGAAAACATTGGGGTAAGTGTTCCTTATCCTATATTGATTATATTTCATGATTTCATACTCATTTATATCATGAATCCGTGAATTTATGGAAGAAAAATCAGATTTTTATAAAATCTTCCAAAAAATGAAAATTTTAGATTTGAAGGTCCATTTGAAATCGGAATTGGATAATTTTTGTATTGTTGAACTCATAACGGAACGGGTGTTTGGATTTCGTGAGTTTTTTCGGGATTTGAGACGTGTGTCCCATTGTCGAATATTTTAATGAATTTCAGATTTGTATACGGAAAATTAATAAATTCATAGGGAATTAATTCCTATGATTTGTATTGAGTGTATTGAATTGTTTATGAATAGATTTGAAGCTTTTGGAGTCAAATTTAAAAGAAAAAGTTGTGGTTGAGTAATTGATTGGAATTTGCAAAGCGAGGTAAGTATCGTGGTTAACCTTGACTTGAGGGAATAGAACCCTTAAATTATTTGTTATGTGAAATGCATGTGAACGACGTATAGGCGAGGTGACAAGTGTCTATACGTCGTCAAATTAATTGTTTGCCTCTGTGATGACCCAAAATATCATCTTTAAATTTAATAATTAATTCTGTATTCTAAGACCTCGAAAAGCGCTATTTATCATTACTTGACTTGCATGTGCAGTCCGTAAAAATTTTCCGGAAAGTTTTTAGGTGAAAAATGAATTAAAATGTGAATTAGAGCTTTAAAACTCAACTAAGTTGACTTTGGTCAACATTTTGAGCAAACGGACTCGGATCAGTATTTTGATAATTTTGGTAGGTTCGTATCATGATTTGGGACTTAGGCGTATGCCCGAAATTAAATTCCGAGGTCCCTAGCCAGAGATATGGAATTTTGATGAAAAATTAAAAGTTTAAGTTCAAATAGTGACCGGATGTCAAATTATGTGCAAACGACCCCGGAATAGAATTTTGATGATTTCAACAGCTCCGTATGATAATTTTGGACTTAGGAGCGTGATCGAAATTTTATTTGGAAGTCCGTAGTAGAATTAGGCTTGAAATGCCGAAAGTTAAATTTTTGGGAAGTTTGACCGAGAGGTNTTTGAAGCCTCGACTAAGTTCGTATGGTATTTTGGGACATGTTGGAATAATTGGTTAAGGTCCCGAGGGTCTCGGGTGGATTTCGAAAGTTAAACGGAATGGATTTCGGAGAAAGTGCTGGAAATTTCTGTTTGCAGAAATTTCTGTTGCAGAAATTCCGTCCATGGAGCCAAGTTTGGAAGCTTATATTTCGAAATTCATAAGGAATCAGAAAATGTGTAAAACATGAAAGTTGTAGTCGTATGATTATAGGTTCCAGAAAGTTAAACTATACATTTTTTGGATATTTGTACATAAAGTTATGACGGATTGAATGAAGGCTGGTAGAGCAGTTTC